CAGCCGAGCCACCGAGCAGCTGCCGTCGAGCCGCCACTGCCACTGCCGAGCCGCTGCCACTGCCGTTGCAGCCCTGCTCCTCTCGGCGCGCCCCGGCCCTACCCACCCGGACTGGTGAGAGCCCTCCCTGCTAGACCACTGCTGTCATGGCTAACCCCAGTGTCCTTACCTTTGATTCTGAGGGTCGTGCTGTTGACTTCAAGGTCTGGGTCGATGGCCTGTAGCTTTTCCTACGGTGCGATAGGGCAGACGGACTCTCCCTGTTCGATCTCACCTCTTGTGCCTCTCCTGCCCCGCCTACTGATGCTGACAGCACTCTTCGCTCACAGTGGGCCACACGCGATGCTGCTGCCCGTCTTGTTGTGCGTCGCTACTTACCGACCACTGAGCGTGCGCACTTTAGTCAGTACAAGAGTGCTAAGACCTTGTACGACGTTGTAGTTGCACGCTACTCTTCCCCTCCCACTGCTGCTCTTAGCCGCCTCATGCTGTCGTACCTGTTCCTTGACCTTGCTGCCTTTCCCACAGTCGCTGACCTTATTACACACCTTCGCACTAGTGACACTCGCTACTGCGCTGCGCTTCCTGCTGGGTTCTGTGCCAAGAACCCCCCCCCCCCCCCCAATGTTCATCACCCTCTACTACATAGTTACCCGGCTCCCTGACTCCCTTCGCTTAGTTAGGGAAACAGTCGCTGGAGCGAAAAACAGTCGCGACGGTGCAGTGCCACCAGTACCAGTAGCTCCAGTGCCTCCAGCAACTTTAGAGCTTCCAGCTCCAGCGCCTCCAGCAGCAGCACCTCCAGCTTCAGCGCGTCCAGCAGCTCCAGAACCTCCAACTCCAGTGACTCCAGCAGCAGCACCTCCAGCTCTATTGTCTCCAGCAGCACCACCTCCAGCTCCAAGGACTCCAGCAGCTGTACCTCCAGCTCGAGTGCCTCCACCAGCTCCAGAACCTCCAGCTCAAGCGCCACCAGTAGCAGCACCCCCAGAATCTGCACCTCCAGCCTCATGGTCCCCAACTCCACGGTCGACAGGAACAGTGCCAGGGCCTCCAGCAGCAGCACCCCTAGAACCCGCACCTCCAGCTCTAGGGTCTCCAGCGCCAGGGTTGACAGCACCAGCTCTAGGGCCTCCAGCCCCACTACCTCTAGCAACAACAACCCCAGAACCGGCACCTCCAGCTCCAGGGTCTCCAACGCCAGGGTCGACAGCACCACCTCCAGGGCTTCCAGCTCTAGTACCTCCAGCAGCAGCACCCCCAGAACCGACACCTCCAGCTCCAGGAGCAGTACTAGTCCCAGCAGCTCTAGCACCTCCAGTACGATCACCTCCAGGACCAGAGACACCAGCACTCCGAACGCCTCCACGACAAGCAGCTCCAGCAGTATGACTCCTCAGGCGTGTACGCGACGCAAGCCACTCTCGTGCCTGCTATGGTGAGACAAGCCCGCGTCGTGAAAGGAGACCCAAAGGAACGCCAGCAGACTAAGCACCCCCAGGCTCCGCACCCCTCGGCACCTCATGGACGGGCTCAGCACCCCCAAACTCCGCAGTTGTAGGCTCAACACCCCCAGGCTCTGCACTCCCCAGCACCTCATGCGCAGGCTCAGCACCCCCAGAAGCAGCACCCCCAGCAGCACCTCCCGCAGCAGCACCTGAGTCGCTAGTGACCTCTACAAGCTCAGCCATGGAGGGCGGGTCTACCTGAGACACACCTAAAGGAGCAGGACCCTGAGGAGGGAGGGGGTCTACCGAAGGGGGACCTTAAGCGAGGAAAGGCGGCGGGGGAGGGAGAGGGGCAGTGCGGTAGGGGAAGAGACAGTAGAAAGGAACCGACTCCCCAAAGGTGACGTCCTAAGAGGGGAAGACACGGCGTGAGGTGGGGTGGTAAAACTACCAGCCAGGCGCGTCAGGGACAAAGCCAAGGAAGATACAGGGAATGGTGCTAGAGGAGAGCTTGTCCGCGGACATATCGCGAACAAGGGCAAGAGCACCCCAGACCGGGAAACGCGACGCATCGCCAACCTCCCCTGTCCAACATAGTGTGGTCAAGGTCTCCGGCAAGGAGACACGGGGCCAGAGGTTGAGTAGAAAATGGGAAGCCACCACATGAATCAAGGAGGTACGAGCGACCTCCATGACTAAGCCACTGCGGCGCTCAGCAACCCCATTTTGCTGTGGTGAGCCCGGAAGCGTGAACGACTTCTCGATGCCCTCCCTCTGACAGAACGCCCGCAAGAGGTCGGATGTGAACTCACCACCTCTGTCAGAGTGCAGACGCAGGACAGGAAGGTCCTGGCGGACTCTGCGGCGGAGCCGAAGACGAACTGCTTGGATCCAAGGGATCAGGACAGCAGGGACCTCACCCTTGGTGTGCAAGGGGAAGACCGTGGTGTACCGCGAGTAGTCGTCGACAACCTGCAGAAAGTACCGCTCACCGCCCTGTCCACGAACGCGGGCTGGGCCCCACATGTCCAGGTGGAGGGTCTGGAGAGGAGCCTCTGTCGGGGGAAACGAGGAGGAGTGAGGAGCGGCGCGCTGCCGCTCCTCGACACAAGGAAGGCAGGGCGGCGCAGGCGAGGCAGGGAGGGGAGGGAGAGACCTGGGAAGACTAGACACAAGGAGGCGACAGTGCATGCCACGTAGACGTGGTAGGAAGGGGTGGCCCAGGTGGTGGTGCCAGAGAAGAGGATGGTGCGATAGGGAGCGACACTCACAAGGGGAGGCTACCTGACCTGGCATAGAAACCTGACCAGTAGCAGCTACCTGAGGAGGCGCAATCGTCAATGTGTAAAGACTCAACTCTGGCCGACGGGTAAATGTGGCCAGGTGGCGGCCGGTCCGGGAGCACGTACAGATCGCCACACGCTGTCCTCTAGGGGTAAAGGTGTCAACCCAATGGTCCTGGAGAACTGCGTTGCTCACCAAGTTCGTGGAGGACGAGGGGAGGTGGAAGCCTGTCAATGAGCCAGACGGAACCGTTGGGCACGAGAGCACAGTGGTGGACCGTGCAAGAACTGGGCCCCCTGAGGCGTTAGCCAGAGAGACTGCAACATGTGCAGTGAGTGGTGTGAGTGCAGTACTGTCACGAAAGAAGCAGCGGGAAGCACCTGAGTCAAGCGTGAAGGTGTGCAAGGCCTCAGCAGGCGCAGTACCTGAGGAAGCAGACTCGCTAGCACCTAAGGCAGCAGCCTCACTAGCACCTAGAGCAGCAACCTCTATACCGGGGTCGTATTGCACACACAAGTGACAGTCACTCTCAGCACCACTAGGCAAAGCAGACATGGCAGCAAGAATGGTGTCATAGTATAAAGCAAAGACATCCACGCCCGACCTAAGCAGCTCAAGTCAGGGGGGGATCTCAGCCTCGTCGCCAAACTCTGTGCACCAGGCGTCAGTCAAATAGGCGAAGCAGCGGGACTGTGCGTGACCAGGTGTCCCACAGGTCTCACCAGCTCAACGACCTGTGCGAATGACGCACGGGCAGCGACCCAAACTCGGAGACGGCCCACGCTGGTAAAGCCACTCACAAAGCTGCCACGGCGTAAGGGTCGGACGCCGCCGTAGCTGCATCTGTCCTCCGCCAGACAATCCGCACCAAATAGCGTCACACTGACTGCTACTACGACCGCCACCACTCCCACTACTGCCACCATCACTGTCAGTACTCCCACCGGTACGACAAAGTGAAGTCATGGCGGGCAAGCTAGGAGGAGCGCGACCTCTAGGGCAGTACGGAGTGAAGGCAGTAGCACGAGTAGTAGCAGCAACAGTAAGAGCAGCAGGGCGGCGTGCGGCCAGAGCAGGGCGGTGTGCAGCCATAGAAGGGCGGAGCGCGACCAGAGTAGGGCGGCGCGCAATTAGAGCAGGGCGGTGCGCGGCCACAGCAAGGCAGTAGCAGGCAGCAGCAGGCATTAGCTCTTAGGGCAAAAGCACCTAGGGCCTCTTTTTTTTTTTTTTTTTTTTAGGGTTTAGCAGAGCGCTGGCGCAGGGCAGGGCGCTGGCGCAGGACAGGGCGCTGGCGCAGGGCAGGGCGCTGGCGCAGGGCAGGGCGCGAGTGCAAGGCAGGGCGCTGGCGCAGGGCAGGGCGCCAGCGCGCGCAGGGCAGGGCGCTGGCGCAGGGCAGGGCGCCAGCGCGCGCAGGGCAGGGCGCTGGCGCAGGGCAGGGCGCTGGCGCAGGCTACAGCAGTGCGTGATGCGAAGAGCAGCAGAGCGCGACGCGACGGGCTGCCTTAGGGCACGACGCGCGGGCTGCAGCACAGCGCGACGTGCGACTCGTGGCCTGCCGTAGGGTGCAACGCACGGGGCAGCAGCGTGTGACGTGCGGGCTGCCGTAGGGCGCGACGCGCAGGGCAGCAGCACGGGCATAGGGCAGGGTGCAGGCGCAGGGTAGGGCGCTGGCGCAGGGCAGGGCGCTGGCGCAGGGCAGGGCGCTGGCGCAGGGTAGGGCACCGGCGCAGGGGAGGGCGCTGGCGCAGGGCAAGGCGCTGGCGAAGGGCAAGGCGCTGGCGCAGGGCAGGGCGTTGGCACAGGGCAGGGCGCCGGGGCAGGGCAGGGCACCGGCGCAGGGCAGGGCGCTGACGCAGGGCAGGGCGCTGGCACAGGGCAGGGCGCTGGCGCAGGGCAGGGCGCCGGCACGGGGCAGGGCGCTGGTGCAGAGCAGGGCATGCGCGAGGCGCTGCGACACGTGGTAGTGGGGTAACGCAGTAACCGCTGTCAGAAGCTAAGTATGGTGGGCCCGGAAAAAAAAAAAACGGTCCTACGAACCTACTGCTTTGAAACCATGTCAAGATAGCTAGCAAGAATCATTGCATTGAATGAAATGTGGGTACAAGTACTAGCCCTAACTTTGGGTTGTACCCCATACGGGCTACCCCACTATAGCCTACACAGAACTAACACGTATATAGTTTGACAATGTTCCCCCTCCGTGTGCGCGACAATCCCAAGGCTGCGCAAGCTCCTCCACAGTCCATCCACCTCCTCGATCCGAATCCCATGCCTCACTTTAAGCACCTCCACGTTTTGCGCTATGGAGCCCAGCCAGTTGGTCCAGGAGAAGTTAGAGATGCCGTATTGAACATGCTGCCAGGAAGGGGGCAGCTGAGCAGAGAGCCTCGGGCAGCTGGATTCCTCATCACTAGCCGGCCCATTGAGGTACACGGCTCGCTCGGATGCGATGCGGAGGGAGGAGATGACGAGGCGCTCCTGACCATACAACGAGAGGTGGTCAAGAGCAAGAGGGGCGGTGCTCTTGCACGAGAGCATGAGCCACTTGGCCATCACCGATAGGCTCTTAGTGAGGGCGACACAGTGAGCTTGAGCTTGAGCTCATTGCTGGCAAAGCGGAAGCGGAGGAGGCAAGCATTGGAAAAGTTGAATTCCATGACGTGGGAGCAAAAGACGGGCCCATGAGAGAGGTGCCAGTGCTCGTAGAGCGTGAACTCGTGCAGCTGTGGCGTGATGGAATCGAGGAAGTTGTAGTTTCTATATCTTCTATCCATGTGCTTGAGAGTCAGACATCAGATGGACCTCACCCAGGCCGCGTTCGCATAGCTCTCATCAAGATTCCACATGCCCCGGCCCAGCTTCAGGCGCTGCAGGTGCGAGCAGTCGTTGAGGAAGTCGAGAGTCCAGGCTTCGTCCTCCTGCTCCTCATCGGTGACCACGAAGCCCCGCAGCTTGATGCTGAAGGAGGAGAGGGCGGGGCTGAAGCGAGCGACCAAGGGGCGGAGGGTGGGGAGCTGCTGCAAGTTGGTGAAGATGAGGTGGAGGGAAGTGATGCTCTGGCCATGGCGAGTGAGGAAGTAGCGTAAGCTCTTCTACCAGCGTTTGTCCCTGTACACAAGGGAGATGTGTTGCCTCTCCTGCACTTCATGAAGATCAAGGAGTTCGGGCTTTGTAAAACTGGCTGGTGTGTTGAATATCGCAAAGACGGTTGTTGCATGTTCGAAATGTTTATGTGGGTTCGGGTGAAACACATACACATGGAGAAATACTATTTTTCCAATCAGAAATAGCTGCGAGAATAAGTAAGAAATGTTGAAAAAAATAGATGAGGAATAGAAAGAGTTGATAGGAGAATGAGGAAGAGAAGAAGGCTCACAGCGAAGGAGAGGACATGGTGGGGAAGCCTTTTGCTTTCGATACCACAGCAAAGTAGAGGCCAGGAGGAGCCATAGCTGTTTCCGTTGTAGCTATGCTGGTCACTGGCAGAGGAATTCCGGTATGTGAACATCTTCATGAACTCTGTTCGATTGTCCGGCTGTTGTCTCTCGTCTGACTGCTCCTCTGAGCAGTACAATAGGCTTTCAACACCCGTAGGACCATGGGGTTTGTCCTCTTAGAGGGGTGGCCGCAGGAGGGAGTGGAGGATTTGGTGCCAGAGGGGAGCTTGCATCATGTCGACCACATCAAGGCAAGTGGTGGCTGAATGATGGGATGCAGAAAAGGGAGAATAACGACGTGAATGAGAGGATGACATGAACGTGTCACACAAAAATGGCAACAAATTAGAGAGGAACGGAGATAAACAGTGAGAATGAGACGCTTGCTCACAGAAAAGAGCGCAACATCGCGGAAAGTTCAGACACAAAATTTTGGCCCCTGTAGTTTTTTCTACGAAAAAGCACACGGAAAGTCCGCGAGAGCACAAAAAACATCCCAGAGAAAATGTGATGGTAATGTCACAGGTACTTAGGAGAGATCCGGGCCAAAAAAATCACGCTTCAGCAACATCACAGTAACGCGAAGCTGTTAGCCGCAAAAACGTTTGGGTGGCTCGGTTGGATCCGTGGTTGAGAGCGTTTGAATGCGATTCATCATTGTGTTGGGAACTGAGTTCATCAACCCAGCTGTCACAACGGGGATCACGAAACAGACGAAAATCTAAGGCCCTCAGAGAAAAAAACAAAACGATGCAACAACGTTCGTTAATTTTGTAAGCAAAGAAACAACACACAATTCCACCAAGTCGAGCAGGATATGTACACGTAAGCAAGGGAAGTGATGCAGGCACACCAAGCAAGTCCACTCCAAGCCAAGTACATCACCCCAAACGATTTTATGTAACGTGCCACATCAGACCATTTGAAACCACCAATATCTACCACCTCTCCGAACCTCATAAACCGAGCCTTACGAATCTGTCCAGCCAATCGTTGTAGTCCACTTACCCAGTATCAACATTCACAACCTCCCTAACCCACACATTAGCATACCGTGTTAGAATAGTAAGCATAGTGAGGAGCCATAGCTAGGGTTTAGCTAGCTAGGCAAGAGAGAAATGAACAAAGGAAGGAGTTTCACTAGGAGCAGTTGGGATACATATAGCAAACCCTAACTGGGTTGTACCCGCTATAGAGCACCCCACTACAGGCTAGACAATAATATTATGACACACCCCCATAGCTAAAGTGGGGTGTAATCACCACAATGAGCAGTCATAGAGCAGGTTCACAAGGACAAGCAAAGTTAGAGGCAGTCGCGAAGGGCAAGTGAGGAGGAGGAGTGACTGTGAGAGGAGAGGGGATGGGAGGCGACTGTGGAAGGTGAAGACACTCAGGAGCGGCTGGCTCAGTGGCTACCAAAGCAATGGCCCGGACTACACGAGTAACTGGCTCCGCGGAGATCGTAGCCTCCTGACTGGAGCAACTGACCCACAGGCGACTGGCGACTACCGGAGATTGTAGCCTCCAGACTACTGGCGCTGCTGGCGACACGACTGGTGCCTCCGATCGACTTCCCCCAACTGTCCCACACCCCTCTCGCACACCCCCTGCTAAAACCCTAGCTCCACTCCTACGGCACCCCCCTTAAACCCTAAACCCTCGGCTCCCACACACCCACCCCCCTCAGCGGCACCTGCAGCAGTGGGAGACGGAGGAGGAGGAGGAGCTGCAGGTTACCCACGCCGTGCACCCCCATGCCCGCCACCCCCAAACCCTAACGCAGGTAGGAGCGCGGGAAGCAGCAGGGGCGATTCACGGAGGGAAAGGGAGGAGGCGGGGGGTCTCCTTGGCGCCACGAAGGAGCAGGGCGCGGGCCCCCCCGAGGGCGCCACGGCGGGTGACGGAAGGGGGGCTGTGCACGGGCTCCCGAGGGCGGCTCGACGGGCGACAGAAGGGGCCGCGCGCGGGCCCCCAAGGCGCCGCGACGAGGCGACGGGAGGGGGCGGCGCGCGGGCCCCCAAGGCACCGCGACGAGGCGACGGGAGAAGGGTGACGCGCGGGCCCCCAAGGTGCCGCGACGAGGCAACAGGAGGGGGGGAACGCGCGGGCCCCCAAGGCGCCGCGACAAGGCGACGGGAGGGGCCGGCGCGCGGGCCCCCACGAGAGCGCCACAACAGGTGACGGAAGGGGGTGGCGCGCTGGCCTCCGGGGCGCCGCGACGAGTGACAAGAGGGGGGCAGCGGGCGGGCCCCCTGAGGACGCTACAACGGGTGACGGGGGGCAGCACACAGGCCCCCTGAAGGCGCCTTGACAGACGGTTAAACCGCCGCGCGCCCCGAGCGCGCGGCGGGCAGAAAAAGCCGTCACGCGCTCTGATAACACGTCGCGTACCACGGGGCGCGCGACAAACAGAACGACAGCGGAAGCAGTTGGTGGGCCCACAGGCCAGGAGCGTAAATGCGCTGATACCACGTTAGAATAGTAAGCACAGTGAGGAGCCATAGCTAGGGTTTAGCTAGCTAGGCAAGAGAGAAATGAACAAAGGAAGGAGTTTCACTAGCAGCAGTTGGGATACATATAGCAAACCCTAACTGGGTTGTGCCCGCTATAGAGCACCCCACTACAGGCTAGATAATAACATTCTGACATACCGAACCTCACACCACTCTCGACCCCTCATCCTTCCCCCCACATCCACCCAGCGCCCACCCCGCTGTACAAATGCTCTGCCTCCCACGTTCTTAGCAGTTAACATGTATCTCCCACGTTCTCAACACTCCTCGGTCCTCTCAACGCTTTGTCTCCTGAAGATCTAGACACCCTCCAGCGCTCTATGTGCCTCTTTCATGGCGCTCCAGTTTTTAGTGTCAGAATGTTATCTTATGCTCTAGCTTGTAGTGGGGTGCTCTATAGCGAGTACAACCCTTCTAGGGTTTGCTATTTGTATCCTCATTCCTGCTAGTTCAACCCTCTTCTTTCGTCTAAATTCTCATGCTATCAGAGCAGGTCGATCCCCTTGGATCGATCCTGTGGGTGGGCTTACCACCTCCTTGCTTCCGCTGCAACTACTATCACTACACTCGGTGCCGCACGCCCAGTGGCGTGTGGCAGGTTTTCTTCCCGCCGTGCGCCCCGAGGCGCGCGGCGGTTTTCTGCCCGCCGTGCGCCCCGAGGCGCGCGGCGGTTCACTGCCCGCTGTGCGCCCCGAGGCGCGCGGCGGGCTTCGGCCCCGTCAACCGGCGCGTCGCCCTCGGGAGGCGCCGCGACGGGCGACGGGGACCCGGTCGTCACCCCCCGTCGCCCGTTGTGGCCTACGCGCGGCCCGTACAGGCAGCGCGCGGCCCGTACGGGCTGCGCGAGGCCCGCGCGCGGCCCGTATGGGCGGCGCCAGGCCCGCGCGCGACTCAGGCCGCCTGCGCGCGGCTCGGGCGACCCTACCAGGCCCGTGGTGGGCCCCTTCCTCGACACCGCCTCCCCCCCCCCCCCCTTTTTCTCGTCGCCCGTCGCGGCTCCTTCGGGGGCTGCGACCTGGGGGGTGGCGGGTGTGTGGTCTCCCCTGCTCCTCCTCCTCCTCTGTCTCCCACTGCTGCAGCTACCGCTGAGGGGGGTGGGTGTGTGGGATTCGACGGAGTGGTGCTAGGGGGTGGGCTGGGAGTGGAGCTAGGGGTGTAGCAGCGGGTGTGTGTTAGGGGGGTGGGACTGTTTGGGGAAGTTGCACGGAGGTTGCCGTCGTGTCGCAAGCAGCACCTGTATTCCGGGGAATTCGTCCGGTAGCCCAGTCGTAGCCAGCTGTGCCAGTCGCCCGTGGGTCCGTTGCTCGTCTGCCGCTACTTTAGCCGCGGGGCCAGTTACTCCAGTAGTCCGGAGCGCTGTTCCGGTAGCCACTGAGCCAGCAGCTCGTCTGTGTGTCTGCAGCGTCAGCAGTCGCCTCCCCTCTTCTCTCCCTCATAGTCCCTCCTCCTCCACACATGCCCTCTGCGATAGCCTCTAGCTTTGCTCATAATTGTGAACTTAAACTATTGCTTCTTGAACTTGTGCTCAGAATGTGTGGTGACATTGTGATCCACCCTGAGCTTGTACTACTTTGCTTGCTCTGCTGATTACACCCCACTTTGGCTATGGGGGTGTGTCAGAATGTTATCTTATGCTCTAGCCTGTAGTGGGGTGCTTTATAGCGAGTACAACCCTTCTAGGGTTTGCCATTTGTATCCTCATTCCTGCTAGTTCAACCCTCTTCTTTCGTCTAAATTTCTCATTTAGTATTTCACTACCAACAATATGTTACACCCACTACTAGGGCCTAGCAATTTCTTAAGCTAGCTTGCGCTCCCGATACTTTTACTTCAGGTAATTAATGATTTCTATCCCCTTCTTGCCTCTGCCCTCCCCTCCCAACCTCATTCCCCAAGTATTTTCAGGGTTAGCTTGGCGTGTGAGGGAGCGTTGGATCTGTGCGAGGTGACCTTTGAGTACCCCTCGCACTTTTCAAAGTTAGCTTGGCGTCTGATGGACGTGCCCATGTTCCAGCGCTTCAGCCTCGCCAACGTCCACTACTTCATATCCTCGCTGCCCGACATAAATGCGTTCACGCCTCTCCTTCGTACGTCTTTCTTCCCAGCTCCGTCTCTCCCTCTTACCCCTGCTCC